AAAAAAAAAATGAGGCCAGAACTAGACTGTACCCAAAATGGAATGGGGCATGTGCCTGGAGAGTAACCTTGGAAGCAGCCTTTATCAGAGACAAAGGACACCACAGTAGTAACCAGAGCCCCTGGACACTATAAAATCATAGATGTAGAGCCAGAGGAGTTGTTAGAGGGCATCAACTTCAATCCTCTCATTTTATTGATTAGGAAACTGAGCCCTAGAAGTTAAGTGACTTGACCAGGGTTACATAGCTAGTAAGTGTCTGAGGGTGAGATTTGAACCTATGCCTTTATGACTCAAAGTGCCATATCTATTACACCATGCTGCCTTTCAGATTCCTAGAGCTAATGTCCAGCTGGCTTTGGGAAGGTGATTGACTGCCCATCCTCCAGATTGGGCTGGATTTTGCTTCCCTAAGAAGGCCTTGGTAGGAGAGGAGTGCCTAGGTTAGGAGGCATGGTGCCTAGCACATAGTAGGCACTTTAAAAAAGCATGCTAAATTGCATCACATTGCATTATGTTGAATTAAATTAGAAACAGCAAGAGAGTTGCAGGTGGAGAAAGGCTTATAAAGGAGTGTCTCAAACACTCATTAAGGCCAACACTCCTCGCAGCTCAGCCAGAAACAAGATGAGCTTCCAATGGCCGACAAGGGAAGCAAGCTTACAAGCAATTTTTGAAAAACATCAGACACGTCCTTACTGGGGGCCTAGGGAATGATGTTGACTTAACTATTGCAAGAAATGCTTTGTGCTCTGTCATGTGTTTACATCTTGAAAGTTCATTAAGGAAGTGCAGGAGGAGCCAAAGTAGATCAATACAGAGGACAAACACCTAAAATCTCTTTGAAAGCTCTCATCTTCGATGGGGCGGGGAGATTCTCGCCTGTTTTATTTGTGTGTTTGTTTTCCCACTAGTTTTATTCAATCAACTCACAGCCTGATGAATGTTTGCCAGCAAAAGGAAGTCATGAACAGAAGACCTAAAACAGCTGTTTGCTTCAGACATAGCCCTAAATGTGACAGCTCACACTAAATCTGCCTTCCAGAAACAGACTCATACTTCTATCTTCCCCCACCTGTTTTTACTTCACTGAATGTTTCTTTTGGTTCATTTCCTAGCCTGTGGTGGCTGATCCCCTTGGACTATGTGGTATGTGCAGGTTAGAACCCCACAAGAGAAGCTACCTCTTACACAAAGGTGCTTAGCACAGTGCCTAACACATAGTAGGTGCTTCATAAATGTGTATTGACTAGCTAACAACCTTACTCAAATGACCCTCCATTGACAGGGGTGCCATTTTTCCAGAGGAAAAGACACAGGGTGAGCCAATATTGAATCATTTCAGATTCTGCCCCACATCCACCGTAGTTCCTAGGGTCAACAGTGAGAGCAGGCCTGTGTTTGTGACTCCCACCTAAATAGATCAGGAAAGGGGAGGTCCCAGCCCTGGAGGAAGTGATGTCAGTAAGCATGGGATTAACAGGCATGATGACACGGCCATGCCTTGAAATCAAAGCACAACTAAGAGGCTGAACATTTGCGGTCTCCTTTCTGTGGGTCCGAGTATGACAAGCAAAAACAAACCCTTAGTGTTTGCTTGTGCGAATGGTACCGGCTGCAGAGAGAAGTACTCCTCTCTCAGGATTGGCGGGCTCAGATTTGGGAGCTTGGTTTGGAAATCAAGCCTTGAAATCCTTATTCCTTCTCCTATTTAACTATCTGTTTCCACGCAATTTGGTACTTAAGTATTAAGGGATAGAAAAGTGAGAGTGGAAAGAATACAGGACCAGGATGGAGAGATCCGGGGGACAGTCCCAGGTCTACCACTAACCATGTGACCTCGAGGCAGTGGGCCTGGGTTCAAATCCCATCTTGCCACTGATCATCTGTATGACCGGGGGCTAACTTAATGTTTCTCAGCATCCATTTCCTCATCTGTAAAATGATGGGGTTGGAGTAGATGAGCTCTAACCACCCTTCAAGCTCAAATTCTATGATCTTATGAGCCTCTCACTTTGGAGATGTAAACTTCTTAAGGACAGGGACCACTTCTGTGAAAGCACAGCAATAGCACAGGGCTATTTAGTAGATGCTCAATAAATACAAATAGAGTATTTGTCTGACTCTCCCCACTCTGTTGTTGTTGTTGTTGTAGGGCAGCTAGGTGGCACAGTGGATAGAGTGCCAGGCCTGGAAGCAGGAAAACTCATCTTCATGAGTTCAAATCTGGCTTCAGACACTTCCTAGCTGTGTGGCCCTGGACAAGTCACTTACCCTGTTTTTCTCAGTTTCCTCGTCCGTACAATTATCTGGAGAAGGTAATGTCAAACCACTCCAGTATCCCTGCCAAGAAAATCCCCCAAATGAGATCACAAAGAATCAGACATGACTGAAAATGACTGGAACACAACACCCAGGCAGCCACAAGGTTTTGTGTGCCTAAACTTCAATTCAATTTAATACATACTTATTAAGCACTACTGTATATAAAGCATTACGTTAATCATTGGACACAGAAAAATAACATAGTATCTACCCTCAAAAAAGCTTGTATTCTCCTAGAGACATATTTTCATAAGATGTATTCAGATAAGAACTGTCTTTATTCTTCCTAGCTAGATTACAAATTGTTTGAAACCGAGGTAGGATGTGACAGAGTCAAAGTGCTCCAGAGATATTTGAGATTGGAGAAAATACTCTCAGCTGAGAGTAATCATGGACGGCTTCATGGAGAAGGTAGTATTTGAGCTGAGCCTCAAAGAAAGAAAAGGACTTTGACAGACTGGATAGAGACTTTATGTGCTATGGCTAAGAGAGCCATCCTTAATGCCTCTTGTCAACAGTCACTCTACCACAGAAAAGGGAACCATAAAGTCATAGTGTAGACTATCTAATCTAACCCCAGAGAGAAGTGACTGTCAAGCGCCATGTAACTAGTCAATAGCAGAGATAGGACTGGTACACAGGCTCCCAGACCAGTGCCGTTCCTCCCACATCGTACTGCCTACATCCTGGGAAGTCATTGGGCTGCTTGTCTCTCTGCAGATGGTCGGAGACAGGCAAACTTGTCTTTTCAGTCCCGTTCCAGCTGAAAGCTCCCAGGGAGTTAAGGAGGTGCCACTGGCTGGAGTAGGAGGTAGCTAGGTGGCTCAGCGGATAGAGTGCTAGGCCTGGGCTCAGGAAGACCTGAGTTCAAGTCTGGCCTCGGATACTAGCTGTGTGACCCCTGGGCAAATCCTTTAATCCTGTTTGCTTTGATTTACTGCAGAAATAAATGGCAAACCACTCCAGTATTTTTGCCAAGAAAACCCCAAACAGTGTGATCAGGAAGAATCAGACATGATTGAATGATTGAAGGATAGCAGCATTGACTGGGCAGGTCCTACCAAATCCCTGCTGTAAAGGAGCAACACAATCCTTAGACAACTGCATCTGCAAAGTCATCTCCCCCTTTTTCACACCTTCTGTAGGTGTTGCCTGTTTACTGCCCTTTATGTGTAGCTCCACATGACCCTGTTACCCCCAAGGTGAGCTCTCTCTGCCCACTCTGGGTAGGCCTGGCTTTCACCTTCACCTCATCCATCCAGTCAATCTGAGGCCACAGATACAACAAAGGACACTTTCTGACACCTCTCAGTAAGGCACAAAGGCGCTGCTAATAGACCGTGGCATTCTCATTTGTAGACTCTATTCATCTGACAGCCAAGAATCATCAGTACTAATGTTCCTCCGACTTGCCCTCCCTTTTTTTACCTTTTTTCTCCCCCTTTCTTTTGCCTTGAGAATGATTTGTCTGTGTTATGGGTAGGCCTGACAAACCATTACGCATTAGCGACTGAGATGTTGTTTGAAATGGGAAAATTGCTGGCAAACTGCTCCATTAGCAGGCCGAGTAACAAATACTTTCTTCCCCCAATGAAGACGAGATAGCTGAGGCACAAATTAATACAACTGTCTCCCCCACTCTGCCATGGGGATTACTCTTTGAGACAAATGGTCCCATCACTGCCAGGGATGGGAGATGGTTATATGCAGACTGGGAAGTGCAATCCTCCTCTGCTCCCTCCTCAGTAGTTTGTGTTTCCTCCCTCCTCCACCCCCATGCTGAGAGTTTAGGGAGCACAAGCTCCAAATGAGGAGGTAATGAAAAGATTTGCACCTTCATGAGATGTGAGATTGATTAGGATGGGATCCTCAGTGCTTAGTCTGGGCCAGACCATCATCCATCAACCCTAATGGAAACAGGCTCCTTCCCTAGATCTCCTAGCTGCCTTCCCGCTGCGCAAGGCCTTTAAGAGATGGCAAGATGGAGAAAATGGGAAAATTTGATTCTTTTCACAGCTCCTTCCCATCTGAGAAAGCTACAGCTCTTGGATCTCCAGGGTTTCTGGCAGTTCCTAGATTGAGCTGGTTCAGTGATGGTAAAGGAAGGGTGACTTTGACCTCCACCTTAGATGCTTGATCTAGTGCTAATCTATCCACCACTCCCAGAGCTACCAGAGGCCAAGGCAGCAAGCTGTAGGAGTCCTGGGCATAAAGTGATCTAATCCTGAAAATCAGCCCAGCAGATTGGAAAACAAATCAGGAAATCAGGCAGAAAGCTTAGGAGACATTTAGGTTGTGTCTTGACAAATGCCAAGACAAAGGAGTGAACAAAATCGTCAACCAATTAGTGGCTTTGCCTACATCACGGTCATCAGTTTGCCTGATGTTTTCTTAGTAGAATAGCAAGGTGGTTTATTGGTGAGAAGTTATGTCCTAGGTCTCCCCTTTTTATTCCTTTCCTTGGTGTCTTGGGCTTCTCTGAAAATCTGCATTGGTACAAGACAGCTATTGCAGTTATTTGCTAGAGTTAAACCCCAGTGCCTCCTGGGAGAGAGAAGGCCTGGTCCCAAAGACATCCTTTCTCATGCCAGGACTCAGAGGGTCATAGAAAAGCCAGAGCTCCTGGACCATTCCTCTGTGAATTTGGACAGTTATACTCCTGACAATGCACAGCCCCTTAGAGAGGTAGTTGAGTCAACTAGGTGGACCTGGGCAATTCAGCTCATACATTCAGAAACATCAATTCATTCAGTCAATGTCAAAAGTAATGAGTCAATTAGTTGTTGGGATTTTCAAGGAGCTTGTTGAAAGAAGTTTCTTTACTGTGAGGTGGTGTCGTTGCTGAATAAGAAACAAAGTCAGCTTCCTAAAGAAAGATATTTACTCATTTTAGTTTATTTTTCAAACAAAAACTCATCTTAGATAGCTTCTTTTTTTTTTTTTTTTTTTTTTGGTGAGGCAATTGGGGTTAAGTGACTTGCCCAGAGTTATACAGCTAATGAGTGTTATGTGTCTGAGGCTGGATTTGAACTCAGGTCCTCCTGACTCCAGGGCCAGTGCTCTATCCACTGCACCACCTAGCTGCCCCGACTTCATTTTTTTTTAACTCTTTTTTAACTCAGCATACTGACTAGAGACCTGGCAATTGAGACAGGAAGATCTGAGTTCTAATTCTGCCTTTGACATATATACTGGCCGTGTGAACTTGGTAAGTTGTTTAAATTGTCAGTATCCTGGGCAATTCTTTAAGACTATATATAAATTAATGAAAGATGGTGGAATGATATGGAGCTGTATCAGTGTAGAGAGTTTCCTATGACAATGAAATCATGAGGCTATACCAAAAAATAAAAAATGATTCTTATCACATGTGTAGTGTGTGTGTGAGAGAGAGACAGAGAGAGAGAGAAAGACACACACACACACACACACGCACACAGTGTTTTCCTACCTAGAATACTCTCTCTTTCCCTACCAACTATCCTGATGTTACCCATCCTTCGAGGCCCATCTGTTATCTTATCTCTTTCCTGATGAAACCTTCCCCCATCTCATCTCTCTAGTCATCATTGACTTGCCCTGCCCCTTCACAGAACCCTATGATTATAGTGTGTGTCACACAACTCAGCACTGAATTCCGTACTGTCTTACTTTGTTCTGTAATTGTCTCACATGTGTTAATCTTCTCTGCTCAACTAGATTATAAACTCCTCGAGATCAAGGATTCCATCTGTATCCCCTAAGTCATGTGCTTGTAGTATGTGTTCAGGACACTCAGTACACTTGTTTGTTGATTAATTGATTGATTGACTGACTTGCTTTGGTCTCTTTTCAGACGACTGGAACAGAACTCCATCAGAGCCATCCCTGCTGGAGCCTTCACCCAATACAAGAAGCTAAAAAGGATGTAAGTTTCTGTGCCTGGAGTTCCAAGAGGGGAATGAAATGAGTACTGATCAGTTATCTACTTCTATCTTCTGCCTTGGAAGATAGCATATTTGGTGATAAAGTGACATGTTTCAGAGACTGGGATCTGACTGGGTAAGAGGGCTAAGCGTAGCCCTCTGTTAGCTCAGATTCCGGTCTGGTCATCCTGGTGCTGAAAGAAGCTTAGGGGACATTTTGTGCTAAAGGGAGGAGTGCTGGCTGTGAAAGACTTTGGGCTGGACGTATTGAGTATGGAACCTGAAAATTTGTCTTATTAGATTATTTGGAAAACAAAAAGTATATGTCAGGGGGAAGAGGAGGGGGCATTGTAGCCCGCATTATCCAAATGTTTACATGTTCTAGCCACTTGGATTTGATTATGCAGGCCCAGAGTAAGAACTTTAGAGATACCTATACCTCCATCACAGACACCACTATAAAACTACCATCACCACTTTCCTTAGAGACAGTATGGCATGGTGGACCATGGCATGAGCAGGAGAAGCCTAGGTTTGAATTTCTACCTCTGACACTTATTAGCTGTGTGACCAGAGGCAAACCTCAACATCCTTAAGCCTCAATTACTTTATCTGTAGAAGAAGGATAATAGTGTCTAAAATACCAACCTCATGAGGTTATTACAAGTATCATACATAGCAAGATGATATAATATATATACCAAATATTTTGCACAGGATAAGGTAACACATATATACACACACACAGCATATATATATATATATACGTGTGCCTGGAGTTCTGTGTGTGTGTGTGTATGGGTGGAGAGAGAGAGTTACAACTAGGTGGCAGAGTAGATAGAGTGCCAGGCCTGGAGTCAAGAAGACTCCTCTTTGTGAGTTCAAATCTAGCCTCAGACACTAGCTGTGTGACCTCTTTGACTCAGTTTCCTCATCTGTAAAATGAGCTAGAGAAGGAAATGACAAACTACTCCAGTATCTTTGCCAAGAAAACCCCAAACGGGGTCATAAAGAGTTGGACACAATTAAAACCACTCAACAAGTATGTGTGTATGTATATATGTATGTGTCTATATGTATATATAAGTATATCTACATATATATACACACACTCAGAATTTTTTAAACCCTCAAAGTTCTATAGATTGTCAATTATTATTGTTATTATTATTATTATTGTTGTTGTTATCATTGTCATGATTCAATTTTATCACCATTCTGGGTATCACTAGCATATCTAGTCACATAAAATTCTCTGAGCCTCAGTTTGCTCATCCATCAAATGGAAAGAATAATTCCTGTAACAATTATCTCATGGGGTTGGGTCTCATGGGGATCTCATGAGATAATGTGTGTAAATAACTTTGCCAACCTTAAACTGCTATGTAAATGTCAGCTATCCATCTATTCATCATTGCCAATATCACCATCATCTCTCCTAGTGATATTAATTATACTTCCACTGCTCCTGTCTCTACCACCTCAAATATAATATTGAACAATGAGGTTGAGGTCCTGGCTTGCTATCAGGGACCTTACTGGTTGAAACAGTAAAGTCCCATGTTGGTGATGAAACATAACCTTGCATCCTAGGGACCTGATGATCATGTAGGCACACCCCACTGACTACTTGAGAACTCAGAAAGAAAATACAAAATCCTGTTGGCTTCAAACTAAGACAGAGGCAAGATGGATGGTCAGCCAACATGTATTTAAAGCTCCCTTTGTGTGCAGAAGGGCTTAATGAACACTCCAGGCAATGCATTTACATGTAATTTAGCTTGCTAAAGAGTCCCTCCTTTCTTTGCCCAAGAAGAAGGTCATTTTTTGAAGCTCATCAAGATGGTGTTCTCATTCATTTCACTCCTTTTGTTTCCTCACTTCCCTCCCCCAGGGGCAGAGAACAAGCAGGTAGAAATGCCTGTGAACTGAATCATGTTTTGTCCTTATTCTGAAGAAAGATCTGTTTATCTCTTTTGAATAGGAAGGACTGATCACTAAAGAGGTTAAGTGTCTGCCATCTCATTTCTCTTATAATTAAACACAACTGGTGGAATAGCATTAAGTTTTGCCCTCAGATAATAGCTAACATTTACATAGCACTTACTATATGACAGGCATTATGATAAGCACTTTACAAATATTATCTCAATTGATCCTCACAACAACCCTGGGAAGTAGGTTAGCACCCACCCTGTTTTATTATCTGTGTTATCCCTGTTTTTGTAGTTGAGGAAACTGAGGCAAACAAAGGTTAAGTGACTTTTCCGGTGTCACACAGCTAGTAAGTATCTCAGGCTAGATTTGAACTCAGGTTGTCCTGACTCCTGATATAAGTGAGTTCATGCTGAGTGTAGTTTCTCTCACCCTTATTTCCCCCAAAATACCTTGATGGATAGAGTTGTCTAAAACCAAGAGGAAATCCTAGTTGGGGATTGTTGCACTTGCCTAAGGAGAGCTCCTCAGTATGCTGTCTGAAAAAACTTGAGCTTCACCTAAACCATGACTGAGGCACACTATGTTCCTTGTCCTTGAGAAGAATTCCTTTTAATAAATACAATCTTGCCTTCCTACTCCCAGTAGCAAATCTAGCACCAGGTAAGACTTTTCTAAGGAAAGGTGCAGGAAATAGAAGCCCAAGTCATTGGAAGAGTAGAAGACAGTGTTGTTTCCTATTTGACATTGGAGAAAGTCTAATAAGTCTATCCACATGATCAGATCATCCTCAGTATGGAAGAATGTGGAAGAACCTAGGGAACTCATGTGTGCACATTAGTATTCTTATCTGTACATTCAATAGAATGTAAACTTCTTGAGGTCATGGATTGTTTTGTTCTTGTCTTTGTACCCCCAACTCTCAACATGGTACCTAGTACATTGTCAACACTCTATAAATGCTGGTCAGATTGGGAATAGAATAGAAGTTAGGGAATTAGTCTAAATTACCTCTAAGGTCCTTTCTAGCTCTAAAATTTTGTGATTCAATAACCCTGAAACTCTTTCTTTTCTAAGTCTTATTTCCTATCACAACTTCAAATCATGTGTCCATGCCACTGGAACTTCCTACTATCCAGAGGAACTTACTGAATGTTCATGTCTTATGTGAACTCCCCTCATAAGACTGAAGCAAGTTTCCATACTAGTTATGGAGAGTGAACTTGCATTCCAGGGATCTGGTGACCATGCAAGGTCAGCACATCCTAACTAAAGACATGAGAAAGATAACATTTGGCAGTTGAACGGGAACACAGCCACTGTGAACAAAAGTGAACTTTTGTCCATAATGACTTGCTAGCCCACCACATGGAAGGCTAATGCTTCAGGGAGGAAGGGCTAGGATAATCCTGGTGCATTCACTTCCTAAGACCCTTCTATGAAAAAAGGAAGCTGAAGAAAATTTTAATTTAAGCTGGTGAGTTTGCAGATACAATCTGTGGATTTGTTAGTGGGGATCTCACTGGCTAAAGGGATAAGCTGAACAGCTGTAGCTAAGAAGCTTGAACCTGTGCAGTATCTTTCCAATTAGAGACTCCCAAGGAGGGGGATGGGAACTTGGTTGTTCTGTACTTTTCATGGTTTAAAAAAAAGGAAAGAAAAGGAAAACATGCCCGTTGGGACTCTATCCCCAGGCTCCAGCTGCACTTGTTTAAGAGAACCAAAGAGCTTTAATCATTCCCATTTGAATAAAGTATTTTTAGGAGTATTTTCAGGATGCTGTTTCTTCAGTGTGTTCCCCTCTCCATCTCTCTGACCCTTGGAGGTCCTAATATCTTCTTTCCTAATTCACACCCAAGCAAAGAAAATTGATTTTCTTTCTTTTAAAGAAAAGAGGTGTTAAAGTATCATTGTAAATATGGCATGTCTCTACCTGGCAGCCCAGTCCCGTGATCAGTTCCCAATACAAGTAACTCCTAGAAATGAAAACTCCCCTTTAGTGAAGGGTCACTAGAAAAACCTGAAGCTAGTGCTTATAGACATAACTGGAACCAATCAATCATAAAATATTTATTAAGCACCTGATATGTGCCAAACCCATGCTAAGGATACAAATACAAGCATTGGGGATAAAAAGAAACAACACCTGCTCTCAAATAGCTTACATTCTAATGGGGGAAAATTATGTATGTGGGTATATTAATAGAATAAGTATAAAGAGAATAAATATAAATACAAAATAAACACAAGGTAGTTTGGAAGGGAAGGTTCAGTGAGGTAGAGATGAGGAAGGAGTGTGTTCCAGGCAGGGTGGGGGATGGTGGCCAGTGCTAAAACACAGAGATGGAAGATAGGAGGGTTATGTATGAGGAGAAGAGAGAAGGCCAGTTAAGCTTCATTGCAGAGTGTGGGATGTGGAGTAATGTCCATTGAGGCTGAATAGACAGGCTGGGGACAGGTTGTGAAGAGCCAAGAGAGAGCTATGGAGGTTGACAGAGGAGGGGAGGGACATGGCCAAGGAAATGTGTGCTTGGAAATTTGGCAGCACGGTATTGGAAGAATTAGTTTGGGGAGAGATCTGAGGAAGAGAAGTCATTGGCAATAATCCAGGTTAGGGGTGATAGAGGCCTGTTCTAATATGAACAGCCTCATTGAGCTTGGTGTGCCCTTAAGTAATGGGAGAAAGAGCAATAGATTGGTAGTCATGTGACCTAGAGGTCTAAACCCAAGAAACTAGCTATGTGATTTGGAGCATATTACTTGACATCCCTGAGTCCTAGTGTGTTTTCTCTGTCAAATGAGAGGGTTGGATTAGATAATCTCTAAGTACCCCTCTAGCTCTGATGTTTTATGAGAAAGTCAAGCAAGGCAACAAGCATTTATTAAGTGCATAATGTGTGCTAAACATGAAACAACATGGGTAGCGGAGAGAAGACTGGATTTGAAAGCAAAACAATTTAAGTGCTACTATTGACCCTCACAAGCTGTGTGGCTAGTCATTTAGCTTCTCACTAATGGAACCAAATCCCTAAAACTGTATATTACTAATGAGTTGCCAGTCTGTGTCAGGAGAAGGAACATCTACCCCCAGGAATTCCCTTTTATGATGCACAGCTCTGGCCCAAGTCCATGCTCATCCAGTAATACAGAGTAGACTCTCTTCCAGGACCTGGTACCAATCACACAGACAAGTGTTAGTAAGTTTCTAAGGTACATCATCTCTCCTATGCTCTTGTCACCTAGAAAGCAAGGCACTCAGTTTTCCTATTTGTTTGGTTTTTCCTTTGTTTTGTTTTTCAAAATGTTGAACAGGTTCTTGCAACTCACAGTGCTTAAAAAAATAAAAAGCCACAACAGTTCCAAAGCTCGTTTCAGAATTGCTGCTCCTTCCAGGTGTATGTGTGTTTATAGCTAAAAACATATTTTATTTTCCCACTTTCCATGACCCAGAGATTCCACCTAATAAGGTATTTCAGTTGGCTCAGGTGGCTTGCTGCTCAAGGCATTATTCAAGTCTGGGAGGGAAAACAGCCAGCAGGTTTGAGAATAGTCCATAGGGTTTGCGGAGAGGGAGAGGAGGAGGAGGGGAGATGATCAGGGGATCATTATCTGATAAATGTGGCTGTGAGATGAATGATAAGGAGTTCTGGGCTAGAAATCCAGAAATCTGGGTTCTAGGCCCTTCTCTGTCGTGAATGCTGCAAAAAGAGAGTAGAGGGTTAACTGAGCTCTACGGGTTCTGCTAGTCTCAAATGCCTTGCTTTTAGGAACGACTTTACTATTTTATGAATGATTCTATGATTTTACGACCCAAGTTCTTATTTCACCCCATCCATGTTTTTCAGAGACATCAGCAAGAATCAGATCTCAGACATTGCACCAGATGCGTTCCAGGGCTTAAAATCCCTCACCTCGCTGTAAGTGGAGAATACAGTTGCAATGAGAAATGGGAAAGGGATGTTTCCATATTTTTCAGAAGGTGTTTATCATGGCTTTTATGTTCCCCTACACACTCATGGCAACTTTGTAAAGAAACAAATATTTCTTAGGGGGGGAAATTGATCCTGCGAATATTTGTACAACCCAAATGCATTCTTTTTATTGATTAAATGCCCTGCAGATTTTCTAGCTATTTGCTTCTAATTCTAATATATCTCCTACTCTAACATCCACTCTCTCCCCCTCCCATTCCATGAACTGTAAAATTGCTGCCTCTGGTAGAAAAAGTAAGGAGATGACTGGACTCTATGTTCACTACTGAGCCTGCTCTTTTTTCCCATTAATTCAGGAATGGAGGTTTTCCCCATATACCTATATAAAAGAATGTTCAGTTATTACCCCTTAGTTTGAGGCACTCTCTCAGGAACTAACCGCAAGGGGAATGTGCAGCCTTTTTTTTTTTTAAATAGTTTTCTCGTGTGTGTGTGTGTGTGTGTGTGTGTGTGTGTGTGTTTGTGTGTTTTTGTGTGTTGTTCATTTGTGGAATTATCATACACCCCAGTGGGTAGGACATGCCCACTAAGAGCTTCTGGTGGTGATATGGTATAGTGGAAACATCACTGGATTATAAAGATCAAATGAGATGATGTACTTGGAAGTGCTTTCCAGGTAGAAAGCAGGTGTCAGAGATCTACTTGTCATCATTATTCATCTCTGGCGGCCTCCATACTCCATCTTGGGTGATGAGATTCAAACCCTCATGAATTAGACATGCCATCCCCTCACTCACTCGATGTAAAGTTTTTGCCTTGTTATTAGTTGAGTGGATAGTTAACAAATTACAGATTTTTTTTTTCCCACAAAGATCCCAGTCCATTGGGAATAGGCTGAGAAGAGGATCAGGAAGGCCTCTGATTCAGCTGCTGCCTTCTGCTTCTCGAGTAAATTAGTTTTGGTTTATCAGGTGAAACATCTGTCTGGGATATCAGAGACAGGATTTTGTGTGAGATTAGTATCTGCTTATTGTATTAAGGATCACAGGGAAAAGGAGAGAGGTCTGCCAGCTGCCAAGTTACTTCTGTGCTCTCTCTATTTCACATTCCTCTAGCAGGATCCAGACACAATCTAGGGACAGTTAGTCTGATGTGACCTGCCTGCTACACCCTACTAGGATGCCAAATTAGAAGGAAAGCTATTTCATAATCTGGCTCCTCTACCAATAAGGCGTTAGGTACATCTAGACATCGTGTTTAGATGTCTACTCCATGTTCATCGGTCTAGGACTCACTCAGACCCCTTGGGGCTGCAAACAATATAAGGTAGTGATGAGAACATTGGACTTGGAGGCAGAAGGCAAGGTTCAAATCCTAATCTGTTACTTAAAGTTGTTGTGATGTTGGCTAAATCATTTAACATCTCTAGGCCTCAGTTTTCACAACTATAAAATGGAGCAATTGGACTCAAAAGATATAGAAAGGTCTTCAGAGGTAATTTAGACTAACCCCTTGATTTTATAGTTGAGGATCAGAGCCCATACACTTTTCACTGTGTCAAAAGTCACTTCCAGCTCTGTCCTGTGATTCACAGAATCTTAAACACAAAAGAGACTTCCAGAGGTTAAGGGAGGTATCTGATTCTAGGTCTTCCTGAGCATCTAACTCTAGACCAAGAAGGCCAAGGGCCTTCTAGAGACAGCTCAGAGTGGTCCAAACTCAGACACATGGTATTCAGGTAATACACACAGTGAATCGAGCTTCCAATGTGCTTTATGGCTCTGTGGGTTTTGTCCAGTCAGGCTTAGAGAGCAGGTTAGCCTTCCTTCTAATCAGCATGTTTACTTCTAAAACTCAAAGCCAACAGGAGTGAGGAGGCTGTGAGCAAAGACACTAATGGCATACCCCTCTCCTCTCACTTTCATCCTCTCCTCTCCACCCTAAGCAGTTCTCGATTGCTATCTTGTAAGCTTTGACATCAGCCATGAAATACTGGGCAGACAGTGACATTAGTTCATTTGGCACGGTGAGCAGCAAAACATTAATATGAATTACAAATGTGTGCCTGAGCCATCATGCTGACTTTTATTTAGTCATTAATTTGTTGAAACATTAACGAAACACACCCACAGGCTGAGCAAAAAGCATGGAAATGCTTACTCCTTGCTTCTGGTAGCATTAGGAAATGGGCTGTTTTGTTTTATCATTTCTATTTACCAGTTTTTCCCCCTTGCTCAAAGAGGACTAATGAGAGTCACGGTCTCCGTGGGAATTGGATGTTATGATCAGATACTCTTTGAAGAGGAGCTTGTGGGGAATGGAGATGGGGGCAGGAGTAGAGAGTGTAAGAGAGGGCAACATGGTACTTATGGAAGGAGTGTTTGCCTTTGGAGTCAGAGGACCTGGCTTCAAATCCTGACTCTGCTACTTACTATCCATGTGACCTTCAGCAAGCACATCCCCTCACTTCTTTGGGCCTCAGTTTCTTCATCTGTAAAAGAAGCAAATTGGACCAGATGATCTCTAAGGTTCCTGTCAAGCTCTGAATCCTGTGAACCTATAAATCTTCTCTGTTAGCCCTATTCCCTTTGTTGTGCTGGCAAGCACTCCTAAAAGCCAGTTGGGCCAGACAAGGAAAGAGAAAGGTCCTTGGACTCGGAGAAAAAGAGAATTGTCCCAAAGAAGCCACGAGTAATCTTCCCAATCCCTCATCCGATAATCAAGTCCTGCCCTTAGATTTGGCGGCTTTTCCTATGGAGATCTGGATCTGCCTGGAGAGAGTTTTCAGAAGTCATCTTCCTGAGTATAGAGTCAGCAACCAAAGAGGAGTTTAGGTATAGGTGAGCATAGATGTGGGAAAGCAGACTATGAAGTGAATACTGTTGTATCCTTCTGTCAGAAGGTCATGACTCTACTCTAAGAAAGGACTCTGATCTAATAATACTATTTGTTGGGATCATATCCCAAAGGTGTTTTAAAAAAAAACAAACAGCTACTTAATCAGTAAATTTCAGAACAGCTTTTTTGTAATCGTAAAAAAAAAAACAACTTAATTACACCTCCCCCAAATAAAGGAATGATTGAATAAAGTATGGCACATTCACATAATGGAATTATAGAATGCAATTAATGCCTAAAAGTATGAGGAGTATAAAAAAGTCTGAAAGACCTTCAATAATGCAACGGAGGAAAAAAAGCAGATCCAGAAGAATGGAGTACATACTTAATGCAACCACATAAGAGGAAAGAATGAACAGACAGTGAATCCTAATAGAGACTTAGAAGGAGATACCAAAAAGTTGAAGTCATGAGTTGTTAATTTATTTAAAAGCAGAAGAGTGCAGAACAACTTAATTTGTTACATTGGTGTTTAAGATTGTTGCAGTATAAATATTTTTTAAATGACCCCAGGGTCATTTGGGGCTATTAAACATTGAATGTTGGGTTGAGCAAAGGAATCACTGTATTCCAGCTAGTAAGGTCCACCTTAAGTATAGTCAGAGTAGATAACCACCTGTTTGGTGTGATTTCAGGGGCACAGAGAAAGCCTCTATTTCTCAACAAATATCTTACTACTTACTGATTGATGTTTTACTGTTAAATGTGTCCATTGCTTGGGGAAAGACACTTTTATCAGAAAAAAATAATGTAAAGTCCATTAGAAAAGGTAAGTAGGACATTAAACTATTGCTATCCATTTCTCTCTTAATGTTAATGAATTAATGAGCCCCTTTTCTGAGAATGGGGAGAGAGAGAGAGAGAGAGAGAGAGAGAACTCACCCCTGCAACTAAGGAAAGGACAATTTATAAGAACATGAGATTTAAAGCTAGACAGGAACTTAGAGTTCAACTAGTCCAACCCTTTCATTTTACAGATGAAAATACTGGTTAGACACAGGAAGAGTAGACTGGTGATGACCCAAAATAAACTGCTCCTACTTCCTAGTGGTGAGGAGCATATGTGCCCACCTCTTCCCAGCAGCCATCCTGGTATCTGGATAGAAATGAATCGGTTTGGTCCAGAAATTCCTGGGATGTAAAAGAATCTTTAAAAGTATATTTCTTTAGATTATGTTCAACATAATCAGTATCCAATGAAGATGTAAAAGACATGAAAGATTAAGGCTCTAGGCAATTCATCAGGAGTCCAAAGTGTGGCTCACGCAAAGAAACTTAGGAATGTCCCCTGAAAAGTCCTAATTTTTCCTTTGGAGGAAGACCAGGAATATGCAGAGGTGGCGACCCATGACCCCATGGTGTATGGACAGTCTGAAGCATCCCCTCTGTCTTCTTATCTGCTACCCTGTCTGGTTTCAACTCCATGGAATAAGATGCCTCTCCTACTAAACTCACCACCATGCTGCTGGATATGCCATGATTGGCTCTACTTCCCTTAGCCTCCTCTTTCTTCTGTTTGGAGGGCTGGAGGGTAGAGCACCAAACTCTTCCTGATGGCTTCTATTATAAATGGCAAAAACTGAACCCTCAGATTACTCCACTTTGCACCTGGTTTCAACTCCATAGAATAAGATGCCCCTGCACCAGGTACTCCCTTGTGTCCTGTTCTACCCCACCCTTTCCTGCCTCCTTTTGTGTGTTGTCTCCCACTTTTAGATTGTAAACTCATTGAGGGCAGGGACTGTCTTTTAGTATTATTTTTACTTGGATCACCAGTGCTTAGCACAGTTCCTGGCACATCATAGGAGCTTAATAAATGTTTATTGGATTTATTAGATTGGGTTACAGGTTACCTGTAGAGGTGAAAGGTAGGAATGATATTCAAAGTAGAGAGAAAGAAGAAAGGATATTTGGCTAATAGACAGCTCCTGTGTAACAGACTCATTTTGACATGAGGTTCTTGGCTGTGAATCCTAGCATCTCTGTGAAAGCCATATGTCCTGCTGGAGCAAAGTCAGATCAGTGAAGAAATAGAATGCCCTCGGAAGGCAGGCATGGATTACAAGCTCAATCAAAGCAGGAATCGCATAGGGTGAGTGGAAGATAACCATGAAGGCAATGGTGACTGATGCTCTCTCCCTCTCTCCCTCAGAGTTCTCTATGGAAACAAGATCACCGAGATTGCCAAGGGCTTATTTGATGGACTGGTGTCCCTGCAGTTGCTGTGAGTATGACCTCTATCCTTCTCACTTGGTCATTGCTCTACGAACAAGACAATTGGCAGACTCAGACTTTGATTTCAGAATAGAACTCTTGGCCCTTTACCTAAACTTGTGCCTGAAAGAACAAAGGTGTTTAGTTGCCTATCCCTCCATCTCTAGCATTAGTGCTTTTCTTTGGAGGGTACCAGACAACCAGGAGGTGAAGGGATAAGGTCAGGTGGCTGTCCAAAAAAACCAGAAAGCCAAGGTACCCGTTATTACTCTCAATAGGTTTATGAATCCCACAATTGGCCCCAGAAATACAGGTTGAAGGTGAAAAATAAAGATCCTTACTCAAACAGGGAAATGTCTTGATGGTAATAATACCAGAGGTTTTAGAATCAGAAAACAGTTACAACACCACATTCTATATTGGAAACTAAGACTGTTCTGAGATTTTTTGGTACCTTGATATATGTGTTTGGGAATAGAAATGGGGAGATGCAGAACCATTCATGGGTGGGATGGTCATTAGGTGATGGGGATCAATCTGTCAGAGATAGCTAGAGAGGAAAATAGTCACAGCGTTGAAAGGAAGATTCATTGGATAGAATTTGCAACTGTGTATCATCTATTTGCATTTATCTTGGTCATTGGAGCTAATGATGTTTGAAGGCAGTAATCGGGATTTTCAGCTAGTTAATGTGAAGAAACAGAAGAAAAGTTGTCATTTTGGTGCATTACAGGATTTTTATCATCTATTCAGAGTGACTCCTGATTTATAAATGATTATGCTTATGAAACACTTGGCACCATAGATATAAACTATATCTATTAACATAAATATAAACTACATACCACGCACGTGCACACACACACACACACACACACACACATTCATATACGTTACTTCTCTTCTCAGAATCTTCAGTGGCTCCCTATTATTTATTGAATAGAGTTTAGACTCCTTTTCCTGCCTAGCATTTGAGGGTCTCCATAACCTAATGGCACCATAACTTCCTAGACTTTTTTGGGGGGGGGGGAGCTGGACTTGTGATTTTATTGGTATAGGGAACTCCTGGAGAGGAAATGAATAATAATAATAATAATAATGAAAACAATTTATATAGTGCTTTAGGGCATGCAAAGTGCTTTACATGTATTATTTCATTTTATCTTCACAACAACCCTGGGAGGCAAGTGCTATTATTTTCTCCATTTTACAGGTAAAGACACTGAGGCAGACAGTTAGGCGACTTGCACTAATTTGCATGACTAGTAAATGCCTGATGTAGGAATAGAAGCTGTTGTGAGCTGATGCAGATCTCCAGTTGTTCTGCAGTAGTCTTATAAAATTGCATAGGAGAGGTCAAGTGACCTATTTGAGAAAGCACAGCCAATATGTATCAGAGGTGAAACTTGAATCCAGGTTTTCTGGCTCTCAGACCAGATGTCTATGTACTATATCATGCTACCTCACTATTTCAAATGACTTCTTTCTATACATTCTACTTTCTAGTTACACAGGATAACTCATTGACCTTTTAGGCCTCTGTGACTTTGCTCTGACTCTTACTCAGACCAAAAACACTTAAAAATTTTGCCTGTTGCATTCTTACCCATCCTTTAAAGTCCAATTCAAATGTCACCTCTTCAAAGAAGTCTTTCCTAATCCTTCCAGCTAGTAACAACCCCCTCCCCAAAGACCCCACATAGTTGTCTCATCATGCTGTACATTACAGCTGCCCAAGTCGGTGGCTCATCCCTTTCTACACTATAAGCTCCCTGAGGGAAAAGACTGTATGTTATCTAAACTTAGTAAAGTGTTCTACCTACAGTAAGTATTTAATACAGGTTTGCTGTATTTGTTGTAATGGATGATGCACATCCATTGCCTGGTGTGTGTGCCTGCCCCCATACATGCAGAGACACATATACACAAAGTCATATTTAAGGATCACTGGTCAGTCCCAGCCCCAGGGGTTAGTTTCCATCTGAAAATAGGGATACATATCTATAAATGCACATAGCTAATATATACAGATAGATGTGTGATCATCACTTTCCCTAACAGCACCCCTGGGAGGTTTCTTTGGTCTTTTTCTGCCTCCTTTACAGATGAGGATATGAAGTATCAGATGTTACATTACTATCTCACAGTCACCAATCAAATTAGGGTCACATTGTCTGAAGTCTCTTATGGTGCAGACCTACACTGGTTCAATAAACAGGAAGTGTTCAAAAATATGTATGCTTTAATGCAGGTGGTTTTAAGTTTTATCTATTACTTACAAAGTCATGGCTCTCCTAGAGGTGAAATGGTGGGCCAGCTCAGACCCAGCAGTCAATAGTTGTAACATGCATAAGTGAGAAAGCTAATTGAAGGATTGTTGCTGACATTAAAAATAGTGAAAATTTCCAGGCAAGAAATCTGAGCCAAGGTCTAAAGGATGTTTTTTAAGAGTTAGATTTGAGGGGACAAGACAAGGGCAAGGGGAAAGATTAGGGAAAGGAGAATCAAACAATCAAATTCAAGGGAATGGTCATTTAAAAGCTTCCTGGGAGAAGCTCCATGGGAAAGATGATATGAAATTTTCCTCTCTACTTTTCACAACTTTTCTTGATGTGTCCATCTCCTGCTCCAGGGGGCAGATCATGAAAACCTAGAGACAGTTCCAGGAATAGCCCCAAGAAAATTTTACGTTGGAAACTGGACTCCCATGAAGCTCCCTCATAACCTGATTTGATGCCACATCTGTCAAAGCAATAGTCACGTCTATTTCTGATCAGAAAATAAGAGAGAAAATTTTCAAGTCCTGCTCATCTTTACTTTGCTGTTCCCCTCCCCCTCAATGTGCCATGGGCTCAGCCCCATGGAGCCTTTACAGCTGTTTGTTAGAATGACAGGCAGGGGCTCTACGTGAAGTTGGGTGAATGGCAGATGGTGAGTTTTGCTTATAGCAAAAAAAAAAAAAAATTAGCTGTAAGATAGAACCGCTAACATAAGGCTAGTTAACTGTGGCTATCAATCCCTTGGAAGAAGAGTGACAGTATTATCCTGTCTCACGGTAGATTTGGGATTTTGGTAACCCTGTATGTTGGTGTGGGTGTCTATTTTAAATATGCATGTATGGGAGTGGGAAGATTAGAGAGGAAAGGGCACAGAAACGTAGAAAAGAGCATAACTAGGAGATCCTTGTGGATCATTTGACTGTAAGGTGGGTAGACATTTGAGGGTCATTCCATTCATTATTAGGTAATTCATGCTTAATATTGTCATTTGGAGAAGGTAAAATTGAATAGCTCATTCTCAGGTTAAAATCTCACCAGGGTTTGGTACAACTTGAATTCTCTCCTTTTTCCCATGAGAAGAGAACTCCTGACACTCAAGTAGCAGTCACTGGTTTTGGGGGGTGGGGTTTGTTGGAGTTTTTTTGGCCTGCTATCGAACAGTTCAGAAGCAGGTCCTGATTAGATCTAATTTAGCATTCAGTAAGCTTTAGATTGGATTTCTCCATGTTAGACTGGAGACACACTGATAAGAAGATTCTTGATTAGAATATCCTGGTAGTCTGGGAAATTTTCTCCGCTTTGATGGGCAGTTCTTTGGTAGGGTTGATTATTTTTTCTCACTATGCTCTGAGACCTTTCCTAGTGGTCTGTGGGGCATTGCTGACTGTAGCTAAGCCTCATAAGGCAGAGAAGTATAAAAGTTAGTCATTGCAAATGTGGTGCTATTGTGTTTACTTATCCCTGTCTCTCTATTTTTCAGGCCATTTCAATAGTGCTGTAGGATTCACCAGTAACTAGCTTTTCTGAATGATTTTTTTTTAGTCATCTTATATTGGGCTGATACCCAAAGGTGGTAATGGTGATGATGATGATAATGGTAATGATAATAATAATGATAATGATGGTGATGATAATGATAATGATAATAACACCTACTGACATTTATAGAATGCTTTAAAATGTGCAAAATACTTTTTCACCCACTTACAGTTGAATAGTTCATATTTGTTGTTTGGCTGAACCTTCTGAAGATGCATGTTGTGTGATGGGCCCTGGCACTCCTGGAAGATGGCCTCTGAGCCCATGATTCGCTGTCTTTCATGGAATGATAGTCTCCATTGTGTTTCCTCATGCAGGACAAATCTTAAAGTCCTTTCTCAGAATTCTCAATCAAGGAGTTGAGTGGTTCTTGAAAAATTTAATCTGTTCAAAGAATCTCTGGATAAATTTCTTGGGGTACTTGAAATTGGATGGAAAAAAGTCTACATCTTTATTTCAATGTCATTGATTGCCTTTGTAATCTTATGTATTTTATTTTATGCATTTAAAAACATTATTCTGAGAAGGGATCTATAGGCTTCACCAGATTGCCAAAGGGATCCATGACACAAAAAAGGCTAAAGACTCCTGATCTAGTTCAGCCATTTATAGAGTTGAAGAACCCCTTCCACAGCTTCCCTTGGTAAATAATTTTTGAGCCTCTGTTTAAAACCTCCCAGTGATGGGGCTGATTTCCTCATGAAGCAGCCTGTTCCAGTGTCGGACAGCTCCAGGTATTTTTTAATCTTTTTTATATTGAGTGGTCTGATTCTATGTAACTTCCATCCCTTGGTCCACCCTCTTTTGTATAACAGCCTACCAGGTATTTGAAGACAGGAAGCATGTCTCCCCTTTGCCTTCTCATTACCAGCTTCTCCAACTATTCCTCAAATAAGTTGGTTTCTTACCATTCTGGTTGTCTTCTTCTAAAGCAGTGATTAACAAAATGTGGTATGGAAACTCCTAGGGGAACCTGAGACCCTTTCATGGAATTCCCAAGGTCAAAACTATTTTCATAATAATACTATGAAGTTTTAATTTCAAATATGGTAAATACCAATAGATATAACCCACATAACCAAAAGTTCTTTGGGGTCCTTAATAAGAATATAAATGGGTCCAGAGACCAAAAGACTTGAGGACTACTGCTCCAAAGGCTTTCTAGCTTTTTAACTTCTTGTACTAAAATGCT